TTAAAGGGGTTGCAACGAGTGGTCTTCAGACCCTGGCTCTGTCCGATGCACCACGACCTCACCCTCAGGTGTTGGCCCCATACCTTCACCATGGCCCGCCTCCTGGGAGTTGACCACGCCCAACATTTTGATCATACCCAACTCCAACTCCTTCTGACCCTGACCCTGGGTTGAGTTTCTCTCCATAATTGAGCACGCCCCCTCCAGCCCCTACACCACCCCTGCTCTGGCTCCACTTGGCACTGGGACCACATCCAGTTTCACGTGGCCCAGTCCCTAGCTGAGTCTTAGCAGGTCTCCAGACTCCGCCTTCTGAACGTGGACCACGCCCACTAAGGGCTCCGCCCAACATTCAAACAGGTCTGCTACCGTTTGGCAGTGCTCCCCACAACTTGATATGCCCCCATCTTGGTCTCAGAACCACCCCAGGTTCTGATTTAATCCACACTAACACCCTGGTCACACCCTCAAATCCAGTCACACCCCTAGTTCTGATTCCCCACTGCCCTGCAGAAAATCCACTAAAATTTCTGCTTGGCTCCACCCACCGTACACTACGATCAGTTTTCTTGACCATAATAGTCACGCCCACAAACCTGACCCCGCTCTAACTTCCGTACAGGCTAGTCCTATTGACCCTGATCTTGTCTTCTGTGTATTAGTTTTCATCCCTACTTTGACCCTGCCACCTCGAAATAGGTCTCTTCAGCCTCCACCTCCCACCCCCCAGCACTATCTCCACATTCAGAACTCATCTGACCCAACTCAATGTTCCGTGACGTGGCTCCGCCCCCTAAGGCTTACCCTTCTTTTTTGCCGCTACAATTGCTGCTGGAGGAAGTGGTGCGGCTGCGGGGGTCCTCGCGGCGTACAGAGGCCAGGCGCTCTGGTGACAGATAGCGACGACCACTGCCAAGAGAGAACACACAGTTGCAGAGGAGCCAGCGAGGCCGGCTGGGGAGCGCCGCGGGCGGGCGAGGACCTGCCGGCAAGCTCGGAACACAGGAATCCCTCCTTCTCCATTGAAACAGCCTCGATCGCCTACAAGGTCTTGGAGAAAGCTGGGGATCCCAAGTTTCTGTGCCTTACCTGCGCCCAGAGGTCGCCTCCTTCTTGGGAGAGGAAGGAGATGTGGCATAGCCGCCCATACGCCGCGGGGGTCCGGAGCCATTGAGGGGCGTCCTGGTGGGAAGGCCTTTTAAAAGCTGACACACTGAACGGGTGGGGTTAGAGGGCAGAGCAGGGTAAGTGTGAGGTCCCGCACTTGACCCCTTCCCCTCTCTAGTCTAGTGAATATACCTGAGGCGGTGGTGCCTAGCCGCGGGGGTGCCCGACCCTTGGGGGTACCACGAGCGCGCAGTGTTGCCCCCTGTTCTTCGCAAGCCCGCAGGCGACGTAGGGCATCCGCCAGCGCCGCCTTTAGGACCGCCAGCTCGTCTTCCTGTAGCTGTAATCGCTGCTCAAGCGCCGACACGCGGTCGTCCACCTCCATGCCACTCGTCCCCGACAAATTGTCATCTGGAAGTCGGGGAAGCAAGCGTTGGCTTCAGTGAGCACCCGTGAGGGAGCATAGACGCCAGAGGCGTTCCTCTCACCTCCGCAAGTCCTTGCGGGGCGCAGCCATAACCCCCCCTCCCTCTCCCGCAACCCAGAGCTGGCACACTTGGAAATCAACCAAGAAAGAGGGCTCCGAAGGGGGAGGAAGTGCCCAATGCTTTCCAGTCCTTGCCCCACACTACTCTCTCAGTCGCAGCACCCTAGCCGTGTGACCTTGGGGAAGTCCCTTGCTTCTATGATTCAACGATTCCAGGAGCCGGTCGAAGATACCTGGACCCTGGTTTTAAGATTCGATGACTAAGATGTTAAATATGTATGAGTGATATCAAGAGCAGAGGCCTAAACACCAACCCACTCCGAGTAACACCGACGTACTAAAATTAATCCCCAAAGTTCTCTGACAAATATCGATATTCTATGACTGTTTCTAAGATTTTTCAAGCTGTAAGGTTTTCCCCCAAGGAGCTCTGGTAGAGTTGTTAAGTGCCGTGGAGTTGGTTTCGACCCACAGCGACCCTGTACAGGGTTTCCGAGGCTGTAAATCTTTACGGGAGCAGAAAGCCTCCTCTTTCTCCCGCGGAACAGCTGGTAGTTTCGAACTGCTGACTTTGAGGTTCACAGCCCGATTCGTAACCACTATGCTACCAGAATCGGTTACTAATTGGATTGCGAACCTTAAGGTCAGCAGTTCGAAACTACCAGCTGTTTCGCGGAAGAAAGATGCTTTCTGCTCCCATAAAAATTTACAGTTTCGGAAACCCTGTACAGGGTCGCTATGGGTCGGAATCGACTCGATGGCACTTAACAACAACAATAAAGGTTTTCCCCCATCCTCTCCTCTTCTCATCCGGGGGTTCCACCCCAAAGACAACCGCAAGGACAGAACTTCTGCGACCCCTTGTGGCAAACGTGGGGGATGCAGGCAACGCGCATCTCAGACCCAGAAGACCCAAGGAAAGGAAATGCGGACCCGGGTCTGATACCCAAACTTCCTTCCCGAGCCGGTGTTTGCCCCCTGTTCTTCTCTCTATTTCGCTTCTGTATCCCACAATTCAGATACGGCTTTCTCCCTCTTCTCCACACCATGGAAGCAGTCAAAATGACACTGCACTTTCCTCCACCCCTCCAGCATTTTCCTGGAGTGGGAGGGGCAGAGGACAGAAGTACCCCTCCTAGCTCCCAGAACACTCATACCCAGACTCATGGCTGGTTCTGATTCTGCCCAGAAGGGCCCTGACTCCCAGTCCGGAGGAAGTATATGAGGTGTCATACGCAGGGACGGAGCGTGGAGGTCGCACCTGCCATCCCACGTCTGTAGAGCCACCGGGACCGCCTGTAGCGGTCCGCAGTGCTGCTGCCATCCCCTCCCACGCTCCCCAGTGGCCCAATCGCCTGCCAGGCCTCGCCCGCCCTGCCCCCACCGGCGCCTCCCAGGTCCAGAGCCTGGACCTGCATTGGAAGGTGGGGAGTCTCCAGAAGTCAAAGGGAGAGAGCTGCTCAGTGTCCTGTGGGCATCACGGTTTGCAGAGGAGAAAACTAAGAATTTGGAGTGAGTGTGCACAGACACACCCAATATCACACAGCCAATGAAGAGCAGCCCCCATTATCTATCATTAATAATCATACCCACCCAATGAGATCTGACATTGGAAGCAAAACACTTAGCGTGCTCAATGGGCTCCATGATTACAGATCATAATCAACTGTAATTCTTGCACCTCATGCTCCCTGGGGTCTCTGGGTGACATAAATGGTTTGTTTTGGGCTGCTAAATGAAAGGTTGGTGGTTTGAACCCACCCAGTGGTGTCACGGAAGAAAAGCCTGGAAAACTGCTTCTATAAAGATTTATAAGGGGAAAATAACCCCTATGGGACAGTTCTTTAACACAGGGGCTCGCCATGAGTTGAACTTGACGGCAATGTGTCTAAGTTCTTTATTTTTTGTTTTAAGGCTCTCTGCAACTCTTGAAGTGTCAAGTATAGATTTCAATTCATAGCAACCCACGTGACAAAATAAAACTGCCCCATAGGGTTTTCTAGGCTGTAAGGTCACTATGATTCGGAATTATCTGGGGGCAATGATTTTGTTTTTGATCTTTAGAAAAACAGAGGAGCCCTTTGGGGGGATTCGAACCACCAATCTTTTGGTTAGCAGCAGAGTGATTAACCAGTGTTTCACCAGAGCTCCTTTCCTGCAACTCTAGTATATATTATCATAGGGGTGGGGTGGACCAGGAAGGAAACTGAGGTCCAAAAAGGTAAAATTACTTCTGCAAGGACACACAGTCATTCTACTGGAAGAACCAGAGCTGGCCTACAAGCTGTCTCCAGTACCTTGTCATCTGTTTTTCATAGGGGAGAGGATGAAATGCACATTCTAGGTTCTCTGCTCAGGGAAATGAGCCTCCAAGCTAGCTGTCCCTTCTCAGTACCTCCTGAATGAAATGGAGGGGTTCTCATGTGAACCTTCAGCCTCCATCCCACAGAGATTAGCTGCATTCTGGTATCTTGCTCTCTCGACACCCCCTGATCCTAGATGATCCAAACCCTCAGCTCCCTCCTGACCCCTAGCCCTTCCTCAGTACCTTTTGCTCTGATTCTACCCCCCACCTCCCACTTCTCCTTCCCTCCTCTACCCTCAGCACTCCTCATCTGAAGCCTGACACCTACAATAGCCCCTCTGGTATCAGATCCATTTGTCTAGGGTGAAGGGGTGGGTCCCAATGGGAAGGAGGGGCGGGGCCTGGAGAATTGGGGAGTAGTGGAGGCAAAGTCCTCTGGCTGTCCTACCTAGTCCCACACCCTGTCCACAGCCCAATACCCCCAACCCCAACCCACCTGCCTCTTATCTATTTGTCCTTCTGCCAGAGAGGGGGATGAAGGCTCCTGAGGTTTGAAAGAGGCTTGGAAGGACAAAGTTCCAGGCCCGATTGACCCCTAGTCTCCCTCTTCCAGCCCCACACTCCTGTGGACTTTGTTCCTTCTCGCTGTAGCCACCTCGGAGCAGGGGAAGGTCCAAGTGGTTGGGAAGCTGGGATCTGGGCTTTGGGGATCGGAGGCCTTGCTCTGGGGTCAGGGTCGGCTAAGGAAGGAAGGGAATCTTAGTCAAAGGATGGGGATGAGGACTTGGAAGCAGGAGCCTGGGGCCGGAGGGATGAATCCGCCCTGGGCGGGGCCAGAAACGGAGTTGAGGAGGGGGTTCTCACCGTTGCAGTATTGCAGCAGCGAGGACGTGTCGTAGAGGCCGCAGAAGGCCGGACCGTGCTCCGCCATCGCCCCGCCACAGCCACCGCCGGCCCCCCCGGCCCCAGCCCGGGCCCGGTCCCCCCCCCAGGCCCTGCCTCCCGTTGCCATAGTAACGCCCTCCGTTCCAGCATCCCCAGCTCGGCTTTCCAAGCATCAGGCGGCGGGAGCCGGACCTGGCACCCGAGTCATCCCTCAGGATGCCCAGAAAAGGAGCTCGGGACACCCCAGGCCAGGCCCCCCAACACAATCCTCGGATAGGGATTGGCTGTGCCCAGATGCCCCTCGGTACGATCTGGCCCCGCCCACATGCGGCGCGTCTGTGTCTCTCAGTCGCTCTTTCTCTCTCTCCCTCTGGACCCCCAGCTCGCATGTCTCGAACCAATGAGAGCCTGTCGCGCAGGCCTCTCCGCCAATGGAGTTTCAGAAGACTTGGAAGGGGTAAGGCTTTCTCTGCTTTTCAGCCTGAAGCATACATAGCCCCCAGCACTGTGAAGAGGATGGGGTGGAAGACGACAGTCCATACTCCCTAAACCTCTTCGCTAATCATTTATTGTATTTTTTAAAAAGCAAACCCTTGTAAGACCAGAGCCTAGAACTCGCCCTAGAACCTAGAACACACACAGATACCCACTAGAACCGCCTGTGAATTCTTATTCTAGACCAGTCCAAGAAGCCTTGTTTATTAGAACTAGACCCGCCCCCAGCGCTCTTAGCTCCGCCCCAAAATCCTGAGGAAAGGATCATTCTGTTCCCGCCCCCAGAGCCCTTAGCTCATCTCCCTTAACATAATAAGATTCTAGTGCCTTGCTTTGCTCCCAGAGCCCTCGACCCGACCTTCTTAGATGTTTAGCTCCGTCTCCGGAGTTTCGCCCCCCTTCGATCAGGTCTGTTGTTATTGTTAGGTACCATCGAGTCTGTTCCGACTCTTAACTATCCTATGCACAACAGAATGAAACACTACTCCATTCTGTGCCATCCTCACAATAGATACGATTGAACTCAATGCTGTTGCCACTCGCCCTAACCTTTCCTTCCACATTCCTCGCTGGGCCCTTAGAGAGCCCTCGTCGTCCATAACCATATTATCCAGTCCGGATTTTGGCAAAGGCCTATCTGCGAAGCAGGCAGCGGCTGATGGTGTCGGTCGGAGCTGGTTCCAAAGTGAAGCGGGTGGGGATGGGGGAGGAAGAAGGGAGGGTAGAAAACCTGATGATGGATTTAAAGAACACTGGCTCGCCTTCCCCAACTCGCCACTGAGGGTCAGCAACTAGAAATAAGTCTTGTTGTTAAGTGCCGTGCCGTCGAATTGGTTCTGAGTCATAGCGACGTTGTAGAGGGTTTCCAGAAACAGATGGTGGATTTGAACCTCCAACCTTGCAGTTAGCAGTCTAGGGCTTATCCTACAGCGCCACACCAGGCCACACAATGAAAGAAAGATGAGGTACTCTGCTCCCTCAAAGATTTGTTGTTGTTGTTGTTAAGTGCCATCAAGTTGATTCCAACCCACAGCGACCCTGCATAGGGTTTCCAAGGAGTAACTTGTAAGCTTGAACCTCCAACCTTACAGTTCAAACTGCTTTGCAATTTGGCACATTAACCCACAGCGCCACACCAGGACAGGCTCACTATGAGTCAGAATTCACTTGATGCATTAACAGCAACAATAGTGCAGTGTGTAGGACTGCTAAATGTAAGGTTGGTGATTCAAACCCAACAGCCACTCCTTGGAAACCCTATACAGGATCACTGTGAGTCAGAACCTATTCCCTGGCACTTACAATCATGATTTATACTCGGGGAAGCCACCCAAGAGCAGAAAGAGATTTGCCTCTGGACACACAGGCAAATGGTAAAAACTAAGGGCTCTGAAACTTTACTAACCTAGGTGGAATCTTGATGCTACCTCTTTATGGCTACATCATCCTGAGCCTTTTAAACGCGTGGGGGAGATAATGCAGTAATCATTGCTATCTTTTTTACTGCAGTCCTGGTGGGGGGCCTAGGATAAGCACTAGACCTCAAGGTTGGCTTGAACCACAAGGTAGGCAGTTCAAACTCATCAGCCACTCCTCCGAAACCCTATACAGGATTGCTAAGAGTTGGAACCGACTCAACTGCATTTAACAACTTTATGCCAAAGGAGTCCTCGTGGTAAAGTGGTTAAGTGCTCAGTTATGAACCCAGTCCTATAGGTTCTCTATGAGTCAGCAAAGGATTTATTTGGTTTATGGTATGCCAAGCTCTGTTCTAGGTGCTGAAGTTACAGTAATGACCAAGTCATCCCAGAGTTTGCTCTCCCTAGTCTTAGAGTTTAGAGTGTGGTGATGTAAATAGTCCAAGTGCTCCAACCCACCAGCTGCTCCGTGTGCTTTTGTAAATTCTGTTGTTGTTATTAGGTGCTGTCCAGTCGGTTTTGACTCACAGAGACCTTATGCACACTAAAATGAAACACTGCCCAATCCTATGCCATCCTCACAATTGTTGTTACTTTTGAGCCATTGATTACATCTTTGGAAACCCTATGAATCAGTTCCTCTCTGTCCTATAGGATACTGAGTCAAAATGAACTTTAAGACAGTAAGTTGTTGGGTTTTTTTCAGGTTGTTGTTGTGAAGTGCCATTGAGTTGGTTCTGACTCATAGTGACCCTATGTAGGGTTTCAGAGGAGCACCTGGTGAGTTTGAACTGCTGACCTTGTGGTTCAAACTGACCTTGAGGTCCAGTACTTCTCCTACAGCGGTATACCAGGATTTCAAAGTCCTGCAGTTTAATGGAACAGAAAAGTCAGCACGGTCAAAATAAATGAATAGTAACAGATAATAGTTACTGAGCGTTTACTGTACTAATCCTCACTGCATGTCCTATTTCAGCCACCATTTTACAGATGAAGAAACATAATTTCTGATCCCAAGAAGTACAAGGAAGGTAACACAAGGTGTGATGATAAAGAAGCATGGAAGGGTGAGGCTCCTTAAGAGAGGGCAGAGTCAGGAAAGATCTCATTGAGGAAGTGACATTTGATCTGAGATGTAAATGACAAGATGGAAACAATCATGGCTGGAGATGGGGGAAAACAGTGAGTGCAAAGGCCCTGTGATAGATAGGAGTTTGAAATATCCCTGGAGCAACAAGAGGACTATTGAGGATGTACCAGAAAGTAAGAGAGAGTAGGAGAAGATGAATTCAGAAAGGTGATGGGCTGGACAGATCGTGTAAGCTGGGGAAAATAATTTCAATGTGTCATTGAATCCCCCATGGAATGCAATGAGGCCACATGTGTAAATTACACAGTAGTCCAGTTCCTGACATATAGTCCGTTGCTATCAAGTCAACCCAACTCATGATAACCCCATGTGTTACAGAGTAAAACTGCTGCCTTGAGTTTTTTTGACTGTATGTAATCTTTTTACAGAAGCAAATTACCAGGCCTTTCTTCTGCAGTGCCACCGGTGGGTTGGAAACACCAACTTTTAGGTTAATGGTAAAATGCACGCCATGTATGCCACCTAGGGCCATTTCTGGTCCATTGTTGTTAAATGCCACATCAGGTACACATTTTTTTTTTTTTTTTTTAAGGCAAAACTCAATGTCATCAAGTTGATTTCAATGCATAGAAACCCTACAGGCCACATGGCAGGGATTAGACACAGGATAGTTTGGGTGCTAGGGAGGGGGCAATATACAAGTAGGGAGAGGGGAATGGAAGAACAAAGCAGCTGGGAAACCCTCCAGGCCAGAGCAGAACTGCTCCGCAGGATTTCTGAGCCATACATCTTTTTTTCCCCCCATGGGAAAAAATATATATAAGCTTTATTTTTCAACATAAGCTCCTTCAAGGTCAAGACACTTTGGTAAGTGATGATACCAACATTTAGTTTGTCCTGGAACTTTAACCATTTCAGTGTAGTTTGGGTTGGGTTTTTTTTTTTTAAGCTTTTATTGTGAATTGAGTATTAGTTTACATGGGAGAACATCAGTTTTACACTCATCCTATCATATTTTGTTTCATTGCAATGGTTACAATCCCCTCCATGCATCACCATTCAACAGTATTTGCTTCTGCTCCCTCTGTTTTTTGATGTTTATGCCATACAACTTTACAGAAGTAAGACTGCTTCCTCTTTCTCCCACAGAACAGAAGAGGGCCTTGAACTGCAAAATTTCAATTAGCAGCTCAACACTTTAACCCACTGCATCACAAATGAAAGTCAATCCTGTTCACTTCCAAGTGAACACCCTACTATGTGCCGGGCACCCAAACCTATGACAAGTGTAAAGTGGTGACCCAAATAGACATGAGCCATTATTATTCAAGAATCACCGCTGATTGTATTATTGATAGAAACAAAGCAGGAATCCAGTTTTCCAGCCTTCCAAATGAATCCCCCTCTTCCTTCTCCCCACCCTATGAGCTTAGATTCTAGTAGGGTAGGGGAAGCCAGACTCTTAGTCCTTTAACTGTGAAGTGGACTGCAATGTTCTCAGGGCTGCCACAAGAGTGCTCCCAGAGGATTGTGGGAACCCAGGGAACTCAGAGCCTGGGGGCTCCATAGAACCAGGAAGAGGAGGGTGGAGCCAGGATTCAGATGAGGAACAAAAGGCAGAGGAGCTAGTGGCTTGGAGGAGGGAGGAGAACATACAAAGATAAATTCAACTCAGAGGCTGCTATTCATGGACCCCTAGCCTAGGGACAGGGACCAGTCACATGTGATCTGAGTGACCCTAGCCCAATGGCCTGGCTTTTCCTCTGAAAAGCACGGTCATCTCAGCATCCCTCTCCTAAGGGAGAAGAGCAGGTTCTGTGAAATTATGCTTGTAAAGTGCCCTGCACAGCCGGTTTTGAGTACAGTTAATGGAGTTGGTTTTATGACAAGCGCTCTCAAAGAGAGATGTCAAGGGTCTGAAGGACAGGATGGGGAATGGGGTAGGGGCTGTTCTGCCAGGGAATGGAGGCAGAAGAGGGGAGAGGGGGAGGGCTAGAGATCACAGTCTCTCTTTGTCTTTTTTCTCTGTTCTCTTCCCCTCCTCCCTCCACATTTCCTTCTTCAGGCTGCTTTTGTCTCTTTCTCTCTCGATGTCTCTGTCTGCAAATGGCGATTTAAAGTTGGACATAGTATGTCCCACCACTGATGAGCAAGTTACTGAAACCTCAGTTTTGTCATCTGTAAAATGGAGATCATAATCTCTGTACTGCACAAGACCTCTTTAAAGTGTTCAAGAGCAAAAATGTCAGTTTGA